CTCCAAGTTAATCCATTAACCCAGCAACGAAGGGATTCGTTTTTCCTCGCGGCTGGTGGATATCGTCGCTGGGTGGATAAACCTCACCCTCCCCCTTTATTTTTGCCCACGCGTACCAGCCAAGGCGTACGGGTTGAAAACGGTTGAAAACGGCTAATCGCGCTCTCGAAAACTTTTGGGCGCAGCGCTGGACGAGACCGGTTTCCTAACCGATTTATAAAGTCCGTTAACACCCACTTGCGGACCGTTTAATGTTGTCGATACAATTCGCGAACGTCCTCGAACAAATAAGGGGAGGAGAGGGGTGGAGTAGAGGGTTTGCGTGTACATATATATATATGGGAAGGTTAATCGGATTTGGAGGGGAATTTGGAGGGGAGGGATGGCGATGTCGAGAGAGGCATTTGCACAAGTTAGAAGGAATAGAGGGTTATCGATGAAGAATTATATATATTATTTTTTTGAGGAAGAAAGAAGGGGGAAAGGATGGTGGAAAGGAAAAATTCATACATGTGATAAAATTTCGGAAAATTCTTGGAAAGAGTTCGAAGCGGGATCGTCAAGCGCAACGTTGAACGTGAATGCAATGGATCTAATTAAGTGGTGGTCGCATTGGATAATTATTACGTTAATATTATTTTAATACATTCGATTTATTATACGGTACGTTTCATCTCAAAGAATTAAGCAGCGAAGTAATTAATATTAATATTATCATAATCTCATAATTACGTTAAATGACAATAATAATTATTATCGTAACACGATGAAACTCGAATGTGAAGAGGGACGATCTTCGTGAACGTGAAATATTTATTACGTCGTCCAAGAAAGAAGAAGAAAGATAGAAGAGAGAGAGAGAGAGAGAGAGGAAAGGGAAAAAAGGAACGACGCGACATCATAATTAATTCCGGGCAAAAATACTCTTGGCCCGTTTCATGGACTGCATTCGCAGATACGTCTTAGACTATCCAAGAATGAAAAAAAAAANAAAAAAAGAATGTCGTAAGGAAGATTTAATATTTCAAGGGGAAAAACAAATGAGCATGACCTTAAAAACCTCGTGGAGCCTCGTCTTCAAAGAATTGCCACGATCCTCTCTTGGATTAAAACAAGCATCGCTCCGAGCTCCAAGAATGTCACTATTTCTCGAATTGGACAATTCACGAGAATTCTTCTTTATTTTCGCAACGCCGCGAGCGAAAAAATTCACTTTTATTCGCCTCTGAACCTTATACACGTGTACGCGCGCGTGTATTTTTACAAGCTTTTCATGGAAGACCAGCAATTCTACATAATGCGGGAGACGGGGAAGTTTCATCGCCCGTTTTTCAAATTTCATGGCTTGAAACCTGGAGTTTTGATGGTCGGTATCTCTCATCTTGCCTCCACCGTTTCGTTAACAAAATTCGAAGCGAGCGATCAAAAAAATTGAAAGGAATTGATATTAATTTTTTTAAACGTAAAAATAGTTGTGAAGCGAACACAACGGAAATATGAAACAGGTGATAACAATATTCGTATTTTAAGAAATATCTGAAAACTCTGATTATTCTACTATTCGATTATTCTTACATTTCTTGAAAAAGGCCACGTACACACCATTATTGAAATTCGTAAATCACTGCAATATTCGAGGATCGTTGCATGATTATTACGAGTAAAAGATTGGCAAAAGATTCTGATTTTTTAGAATATATTCCATAATGTTTGAAATATAAAACTTTTCATCATCACTCTTTGCAATCGATGTAGAAAAATGAATAAATCGCGACGATCTCTTTTATCAAGACATTCAAGATCCTCGTTATCTTTCTCTCGTTTCTTTGACACTTTGAAACATTCATTCGACATTCATTGATTGCACAGTTGAATTTCTGTTATTCATGATGTGCGCTCTGCGTTGGATTTCGCCGCGGCGAAAGAGTTAAAGAATCGTTTCCCTTTAATATCCCAACGATGGAGCCTATTATAACGCATCGGTGAATTTTCACCAATTCTCGTTCCAATTTCGATGATCAAATTCGTCAAACTCTCCGATCAAATTAATTAAATATATTAAAGGTTATATTACATAGATATATATGTTATAATAACAAACTCTATTTATATTCTTTGGAAACTCGAAACATTTGGAATTACACCACGAATTTTCCACTGAAATTTTCTTTGTCTGAAATTCGAAAAAAAAAAAGAAAAAATGTGGAATCAAACTTTTTCAGTCATTCCTTTAAATGGCATCAAACATTCTGATGAACGTGATTAATGTATTTCATGAGGGATTTCATTTCGAGAAAAATCACGTTGAAAAAGTGATTCGCGTTGAAAACCATTTTCGACGTGGAATGGATTTTTTTTTTATCCCATTTAATGGAACGAAAGGACTTCATGGAAATGTAATAGATCGAAAATTACACAATTTGTGGGAAATTGTCTGGTGTCGTCGACAACAGACTGGTCTATTATAAAGAGAAAGCAAAAAATTTTTCAGTTGGATGAGAGTTTATTCGTTTCTCTTTCTGCTCCTTTTTTTTTTTTAACAAGGAGTTATTTAACGAAGAGAATTCACATTATTTAACTCTTTGTAGTTAAACAAGCAAAATTTTTCCCCTGAAATTTTTCCTCCAAATTTCCATTTTTCATCGAGAAAAATTTCAAACTTAACGAAAGATCGTATAATATAATAGAGAAATTTTTAAGTATCGTGGAATATTTTTAGAGTTTTCTGACAATGAAAAAAAAAAAAAGATTCGATTCAAATTAATTAAATGGATGTTTATATAAATATCATATAAATATCGTTGTTATTCTTGAATTCGAAATATTTCCAAATTTCGAAAATTCTTCGAACAATACCTTGTATAAAATATTATTACAAACAATTATGCATTTAGTTGATTTTCTGTTAGTTAATTTAATCTTTATCAAAATCCAACACACATAGTGAAAAAAACTTTTTCTCAAAAAATAAATTCGAACCTTCTAATAATACAGAAATAATTACAATTTAACAGATTTTAACGAATTTATAAACAGATATTCTCTTTCCTTTCCTACTTCACTAAATCCACTTCTTCCTTTATCGAAACAAATTTCTATATTTATAAATTATTAGATATTTTAAATTTATGAATAAAACATTCTCAGAATTCTCAAACTCTTCAACTCCCTCTATCTTTCTCTCTCCAACTTCATCCACCCAAATCCACCTGTCCTTTATCGAAACATATTTCTATATTTATAGATTATCAGATATTTTAAATTTATAAGTACAATATTTCCAGAATTCTCAAAGCTTTCCTCCTCCCCTTCCCTTCTTTCCTTTTATCGAAATTTCCAAACGTCAATAACTGAGCTTCTCTCGTAAATCTCTCTCCCTCCATATCTCCAAATCCATCTCTCTAGCAGCATATTTTTTAACGTATTACATACGTACGTTCTAAATCTCCACGCGAGCACATCCTCTCCAATCCGCGATCTTTCATACGCTTTCGACTCTCGATACTCGTCCATTCGAACGGGGAGAGACAGAGAGAGAGAGAGAGAATTCGTCGTAACGTGTGCGCCCCTTTACACGCGTGCAAAGCGATGGCACACACGGCCAATAAGATGGTCGAGTGGCGTTTTCGTTCACGTCGGTCGCGTTACCCGCCTCGGCTGTAATCCGCGCATCGAATCGAGATTCCTCCGGCTCCGTTTAATGGCCAGGACAGGTTCTTCTTCCCCGTACCGAAAATCCTCCCTGTTACGAGCGTTGAGCTCGACGTTTCTCGACAAAAGATCAATCGAATCGCGCGATTAATTCCCCGCTCGTAATCCCCCGATATATCGATACTCTTTGTTTCATGACAAAAAATAAAATTTTACAGGGGGACGAGAGGCAACCGATTGTTTCCGAGCTTTTGCACGCTCGATCGATTCGATATTTCGTCGATCGTGTCGCGGTTTTAATTTCCACGTGTTTATTTATTGCAATTGAATCGTATCGATATTGTTGAAGCGTTGCGGTTAGTGGGGGCGAAAATTTTATATTTTTTTAATCCATGTAATTGGGCGATGGATTAAGGAACAAGAGCGAATAATATTCGGGCGAATTTGCGTTGGAAAGATTAATTAGTAGCAATTCTTTTAAACTGTGCTTTCTTCAGTTTTAAATAATTCAACGTATTAAAAACTTTTTCTTTTTGCTGTTGGATTTAAAGGAATTTCTCATTTTTGTTTATGTGTTATTGTTATTGTTAGGATCTTAATCGTATCTGTTGCAATTTTAGAAATGTTTTATGTAATATTCTTCGTGTTGAAGTCATTCAATCGACGATTAGAGGAAAATGTAGGAACACTTAAAATTTATAGATTTGCAATAATAATTTTGATATTGGAACGAAGTGACATTTTTTCTTTCCATTTTACTTTTCTACTTCCCCCCCCCCCTCCTCCCTCCGTTTATTTTCCGTTAGACGCGATTAAAATGCACAGGATTTTGAATCGTGACCTGGACGAGAGGATTTCCGCTAGGCAGAACTTAATCCTGCGCGAACAGGAACTGCAGAATACTATGACTCATGGATCGAGCAAAAACAAGATGAGATTGTGATTCGAGCAAGGAATTTGGATAATAGAAAGAAAAATAAGAAATTTTTCGATTAAACTACATTCCTTGTTCAACACATTGATAGCATACAGCGAGCGAGGAATTATTGGGGAAAGAAGAGAGAAAATGATCGAAATTTTCTTTTTATATCGATTTTTTGATATTGACATACAAAAAACAATTGCGTAGAAACGCGACGAAATTCAAAACGGCAGCGTATATTAAAAGCAAAACTCATATTGAACTGGTATGGAAAAGAAAATAGGGATAAAATTCTTTTAAATTTCTTTTGAAAGAAATTCTCACGCGTATACGAATGAATTGTCGAAACAAGAACAAACAAAAGATAATTTATATCCTTTTTTTTTAATCATAATTATTTTGAGCAAATTGCTGTCCCTTTATGAAGAAAAAGTTTAAAATAATAATTTTTCCAAAGCAGTGAGCGATGTAAAAAAATAATTACTGATTCATCGGATAATGGACTTCGATACTACCCGATAATAAAGAGAAAGATGAAGTACTTTAGAGAAAAAGTTCATTAGCAATCTTTCATAAGAAGCGGAAGAAGCTTTTATGACCGTTTAATCGTAGTAATATTACTTTGACACTTGATGAGAAAGATGATACGGGGAGAAGAATAAATTTATTTAAATTTATCTTCCTTTCTTTTTTTAAGATGGTTAAAGTATTTCGAAACATTCAAAAAAAAAAAAATATTCTTAAACATGGATAGAATTATTATTTTCTCAAAAAGATTCTCAAACTATTCTATTCCAGTTTTTAACATTAAACTATTATAGGGTTAATCTACAAGATCATCTACCAAGAATAGATATTAACTTAATGCCCTGTTTTTGAATAAGCTTGAATTATTCTCATCGTTTGAATAATTTCATAATATTCAGGATGATTTCGCGTAATGTTGTAAAAATACTTACTCTGTGCAATGTTACAGAGTCATATTTGTACTTGGACAAATGTGACGGAAGAGATGTACATTTTTGAGATGCTAAGAATTCTGGCTTGCGCGCGTATCTTGTTGCGAGATGGCAGAATTGAAATGATCGTTATTTACGTAAATAAAACCTAGGATTAATCTTATTATAATGGGAACGAACATCGACCTAATTCCTCTTCAAAGTTTCTCCTTTTTTCTTAATAATTTTGTTGAATCGAAAATCGCAGACAGAAGAAAGGAAAATTTTGCTTAATTCCTCTCTTGAGATTTTTCCCAACATGAGATCAAAGATTTTCGTGTCTCGAGAAATAATTTCTCCCAAAATGTGTGGAAAATCTGAGAAATTCGAGAAAGAAATCTTCAATTTCTACAGTGACAAAGGATTATTCAGCGTGACGGTTCCTAGTAAATCTATGATCCTCAAAGCCTTGCCTGTCGTATCCAGACATCAGAAGGGAATTTCGAGCAAGCGGAGACGGAACTGTTCGTCCCGAAACGTCTTTGAACGACAGTGCACTTTGAACTTCTTTCGAGGCAAGCTGAGAAATTCATAAGAACGCGGATTATTCGACGACAACTTGGCACTCGCCCTATATGTTTTTATTAAAGTCTAGGAACGAGGAACTTTTCACCCGAACTGACACCCTTTAATAAAACATTGTACACCGACTCGATGTACAGCTAACAGTTTTCTTCTTGAAAAGAAACAGGATACGTTTTTTAAATCTACTGGCTAACTGGATCCAAATGAAATAAGGAAATAAGGAATGATCATAATTATTAAAACTAATTTTTACAATATCCCTTTGTTTATTTGTTGATTTTCAAAAGCTTTTTCAGAATCTAAAAGATTTTCAAATTGGAATATCATAAGATGATCATCATCTTGAAGTATAAAAACTCTCTACTTACTACATTTTATATATTTTCACTATTGTGCGAAGATTAGAAACAAAATTCTGTTTGTCAAACAGGATAAAGGATTCAACAATATTAAATACGTTTATTTATTTTATATACATCGTTACATTTTCGTGTAACATTTGCAAAGAACAAAAATCGCAAAATGAAATAAAAATATAATATTTGTTTAAACTTTTCTTAGATTGAGATCTTAATAAAAAGGAAATAAAACATTATCCTAATATAACATTAACAAAATTGGAATTTGACTAAAAATAAGAAAAAAAAAAATACTATTCGAAGAAAAAAATTCGAGAATGGCAATTCATAAAATATATGTATGTATTTTAAGAAGAAAGAAACATTAATCTTTCGAAAAAAATAATCACTCTAAAGGACAGGATAAAAGCAGGATGTAGAAAGAGGCTTATCGTTCACCTGTGAAGAATCTTTCGAAAGCGTCAGTGAATGGGAGGAAATGAGAGAAAGAGACGAGATTAGGGGTGGTTGAACCTGAACCACGTTTATGAAAACGATAAAAGCCTGAGAATTATCCGCGGCATAAGGTCGAAATATTGCGGTCTTTATTAATACCCGGTCTCTTTCACCGACTTTTTCGTGATTGTCGCGTCGATGCGCGACCGCATCTGAAAACGTAATTTCGATGCGGCAAGCATAGTCGTTCCAACGATTTTTTTCCTTTTTTTTTTTTCTTTTTTTGAACCACCCTCTATTGTGCGAAAACGAGTACCACTTCTTCTTCGTGAAACGTTTTTCTGGATCAAACGTTGCGAACAAATGTCGTGAAAAATATATTAAGAGTGAATGGAGACAATGGAGAGAGTGATGCGTTTGACGCTTCGAGGCTCGAGTGGAAAATTGATTTAACGATAAATAGGATGTGTTTTATTCTCCGAACGGGTGCGTAGTTGTATTCATAAGGGGGGGAGAGAAAAACAAGAAAGGAGTGAATTGATGTATAGACAAAAGCTTGTTATTTTTTTTTCTCTCATACTTCAAAAAATTTCACGCAAGAATTAATTAAAAATATATCATTTTTTAAATATCGAGAAAAGACACAAGTAAAAGATCTATCTACACATCTGAAAATAATATACACGTTACAAATAATTCTCCACAAATAAAATGAAAAATAAGGAAAGGAATGAAATCAAATCAAAATGGATGACGATAAAGTTACGCGCAAGCTTCGAATGAATTTAAACGATCGTGTGCTTATCATTCGGCCTTTATTTTCTTGCATGATCATCGAGAAGAGAAAAAAAGGCTCATTTAGCTCGTGGCGGATTCGCTACGAGGTGATTGATCGCGTTCTGTCGCGAATCCGCCGGTCAGCTTACTCTGATCGATTTCCGAGAGGATCCGCGGTAATTTTTCTTGCGGTACATTCGGACGTGAAAAATTATCCCGTACTCGTTACCGACCGCGATTACTCATGATCGAGAATCCATGCTATCCAGATGGATAAAATTAGATTTCGTTTGCTTCTCGTATTATTCCATTCTTCAAGTTTCGCGTCTTGATATATTCGTTCGTTGCACTACTATCCGAATATCCCACTCAACATTTCTCATACTCTCTAACTTAGTTTATTATAATACGTAACTACTTTCCATCGCTCAGCTAATTACTTAACACTTCCAACACTCGATCCTCGCTCAAACGTTTCGTTAATCAATACCAACAACAATACACCGTCCCCAAAACCAACAAAGAGAAACGACTTAAAAGCTTATCAAACACTCGTCAGACTCGATCCAGGGTATACACGAGAGATTACGCGCGAATTAAAACGAGCGCCGGTGACGATGCTCAAAGAAGATAATCCATGAATCACAGGTTGGAGCCGATAATGCAAACTTAATGAAAGACCCTTTCCTCCCCCCGCGCGGACTACGCCCACGCTGCTGGATATATTCTAATGGGTGGCAACCCTACGGCCGCGTTTAGCCGAATGGGTTAAAACTGCGGTTGTTTGCGGTGCACTTCAATCGAATTGGCTGCCGTTTGCATAATCTCCGGCCTTACTTCACGTGTACACAACCACCCATTCGTCCTTATTCGCCGCGGCTTCTTTCGCGTTTCTCGCCGTCGTCTTCTGGCGAGTACATCGCTCCTCCCACCCCCGATGAAAACGCGTTTCGCGGTTCCACGAGAAATGTTTACGAGCAGATGCACTCCCTGATTTATTCCGACCCGGTTCTCGACTTATCCCAACGAGCCCATCGACTTGCCTCGTCGTGGCAAGATCGTTTCCTTGCCGATCGTTCGCCCGTTATCCGCCATTTGCGCGGATAATTATGGAAGTGGTGGGGTTGTTTTTCACCCCGAATTAGAATCTTTCGAAATGTGTATGTATATGGGATTTCTTTCGGCTCGAAGATGAAAGAGTTTAAATTTTTATGAATTCCGTGCTTCTTTATCGAAATTATCGTTAATGTAAATCGCGTTTTTATTTTTGGAATCTTCATTCCTTTTGGGAATGGGAATGATGAAACCTCGAGATTTTGAAATTAAGTCGAGATTCACGCGAGGCGAAAATCGGTTAAATCGGAAAGTTTGACGATATAGTCAAATTTGTATGTATATTCGAAGGGAGGGTATAAGAGAAATTGCGACGTCTTGTCTAAGAAGACGTCATTACTTCCTCTCCTTAGGGAGCTCAATAACAGTAGACCGATAAATCAATCTGGTCACCTATCTACTTGATATATTGCCTGATTTACATTCACCAGATTTGCATTGAAGGTGACTAACGACGGGTACCTCAAACGTTCGCGGGGCAAAACTAACCGTGATTCGTTTCACAAACTTTAAGAGAGCAAAGATCAAAACTTTGAAGGAAACGAGGTATCATCGTCGTACTTATGAATTTTAATTTTCCAAGTTGATGTCAAGTCCGGTGAATCATCTCTCCCCCTCTTCTTAGATTTTGATCACGTGGCTTTATTTACTTTCGAGAAATCGAACTATCGAATTTCGATTAGAATCAAACGTGTTTATAACGTGCTCGAGCCTGTTTCTATCGAGAGTGTCTGACACAAACAATCGTTGACACCATTTTTATAATAATAGAACGAAGAATTTTGATAGATTTTTATAATTAAACGTGTCGCTATATCTATTCATTATGCCTTATTTAATTGCATGCCTTTAGTCAAGTTACATTGAGCTTAAGATATTAATATCGGATGATGAATAAGTATCTTAATTTATACGATGCGATTCTGTTGGGATTTAAGGATATTACGTATTTGATTTATTTTTCTCAAAATCAAGAGGTAATAACACAGGTATTAGCATATTCATTATTCGGTTAAGTTTAAACATTTTTCATTTATTCAATAAAAACGTTCTACCCTGTTTTTTCATGATATAAAATTTATAATATTTTCATAAATATACGAGATACACTTGGAAGAGGAATATGAAAAAATACCAGTATATTCGTAGACAATATAAGCTTGTTAATAAATACACAAAGTATTTGATGATTTTATTACTTGTGACAATCGACACATTGAGAATTTCTGATCACTTGGCGTTTAAATGCTACAATAAATAGAATGATGTGCAAACATCACGCACGAGATTACATATGTTTATGTAATGTATACATATGAATAGATGTGGAAATAGATCCGGGCGACGAATTTCGATAGGAAATCAGAATCCTCATGCTTCCGATCCAGCATCGCTTAATCTCTTCCTTTTCCTGGGGGTGGAACGCCAGCTAAGCAGTTCACATTTCAACCGATAGAAAAGAGAAATGGTGGAAACGGCTATGAATTCTAGCTCCGCTCCAGAAGAATTCTACATTTTCAAACAAAAATTTCTCGCGATTTCTTCTTCGAGAGAATCGCAGAATCGCGTGCCTACGAGCGAACAAAATCAAGGGTTGCAACAGTTTTCCGGAAAGCGATTCTTGTTTTCGATACCTTGCGGATAAAAGATATCTTTGTAATACGCAAAATGAGGCACGAAAATATGTGACAAACTAAATTAAATTTATATTAGCTTTTATGTATACGATTGTATGCGTTGATTTTTGCTTATCTTTAAATTAAATATCGATTTTTTTTTTGAATTTTTATGTAATTTTTATCGTTAAGTGTAGAGATTATTGAGATATAAATTCTACAACGAAGCAATTTGATAAAGGAATTAAACGAATTAAGTAAAACAAGGGAATTAATAACATTGAAAAGATGAAATTCGTTTTCATTTCTATTTTTTAATTGCATTATTTCAATCGCATTATGATAATTCATCAATGTTAGAAAAACTTTAGGATAGATATTTTTCTTTTAGATATTATTTTTTATACACTATTAGTCATATTAAAAATAAATTTAAAAAAAAAACCAAACATCATACGAAAAATACAATATAACGGAGTTGAGTTTTGCAAATATTTGCGAAGACTGGACAATTGATCGTCATTATTAAAATCAAATAAATTGTAGCGATTTTAATTGTCTATACATACTTGAAAGAGCTTGGTAGACGTTTATTTTATTTTATCTGAAATATTTGTCTTCCATATATTAATATCAAATATGAAAGTATCAATATTTTTATATCTCCAATCCCCAAAGATTACAATATTAAACTCCACGATTTCCCTATAAAATAAAACATGGGATATCGTTTTCTTTCCTTATCTCTCCTGTTTTTAATTATAAATGGGGGAAGGGGAGTGGGAGGGAAAAAACCACGATGGATTTTCTTCCTTAATTAAGCTACTAATGAGTTCAATAACGAGTTTTGAAACTTGTTTGTCAACTTCACAGCCCTCCCCTCCTCCCCCGCATTAAGCCCTCTGTAAATTGATTTCGCTCTTTCGTTTCGACGTTCGTGTACACGTTATCTTCATTTCCATCGTTCTGTTGTTTCCCCATTTTTCCCTTTTCCTCCCTTTTTTCCATCCTCCCCTCCTTCTTCCCTTTTTTTCTACCTTTATCCGTTTTTTTCGATTTTCACATCGCGACACGTTTTTCAAATTTATACGCGACACGCCCTTTGTTCCTCCACGCGACTCGATATTGCAACGTTTCTGATATTCGGTCGCAACACGATCTCCAATTTGCCGCCGATTCGCGTATAATTGCGAAACGTTCGAGCATCGAAGTGCATTTTACTTTGATATCCGTAACGATATCGAGAAGAGGGTGGGCTGCTTTGCATTTCTAGGTCATTAATCCTTGTTTTCGAATTCGCTTTGTCGAAAACGAATGCTTCGAGTTGCGTTTAATTTGAATTTGGTTCGAAATTTTACCGTGTATTATTAACTCTTGTTTTCTCCTCCTCTTCGCGAAGATTGAAAGTGATGATTACCGTGATATTGAACGAAATGAATATATGTGTGTATAATTTATTGCGTTAAAATTAATATTTCATGGGAATTATAGGAATTTTTGGAACTTCGAATATGAACGTACGAAGATAATTACGTATGAAATAATATTCGATATAAAGTAAATAATAATAATAATAAACGAAGGGATATAAATCTGAAACGTGTGAAATATTGATGAAAACAATTGATGAAAAAGATTGTACATGAGTGTTGTACACGTGTCACGTTGATTCGAGCAATTTGTAGCAATTTGTCTGGTGGAACGATAGTTAAGGTTAAACGGATATTCCTGGAAATGATAGGAAACAAAGTGTAAACAATTACGACAGATGATGAAACGTGTTTGTGTTTCGAAACACGTGACGACTGGAAATATGGATATATGCTATTATTATACATTACATGAGTCGTCGTAATAAGACAAAGAAATAAAAGGGAAAGATTTATATTTAACCAAATATAATGTGAATATTAAACGTCGCAAATTTGAATGAAAGATGAAGGAACAGAAGAAGATGAAAGATGAAAATGTTTGACCTTGGATAATTCAAGGTGAAAGCTATATTTTTTCACGGTTCTTAAATAAATATTTGATCTCGAGAAATTAGAGTGAAACCGAAGTCCTCATTTTTTTTTACTTGTAGCTCGAATAAACAACCTTGGAAGTTTAGAATCAAAATAAAAGCTCTTAAATAAATATTTGACTCTTTCACGAGAGGTCAGACAAAATATTCGACCTTGAAAACATAAGATAAGGAAGAAGGGAAGAGAAAAGCTCGAAGAGAAAAGCTCGAAGCTTAAATGTATTTTATTTTCTCGACTTTCTTGTATGAATCGAACTCAAGGCAAAAGTTATAAATACTTATTTAACGCTTGATAAATCTCGTTACATTCGAATTATTTACTTTAGATCTCTCGATCTTTGGATCAAATAAATATCTACTTTTTTCTCACTCTCGTCAAATTCACTCTCATCAATTCTACACTTTGCATTCCTCGTTTGGAATAAATAAATATTTAATCCTAAAAACGATAAACCACTTTATATTTCTCGTCATAAATCTCGTAGCCTCTCAAATTCACGCAAATTCCTCGAATTTCTACTTCAACTTTCAGTTATAATTTCAATAAAAATCCCATCGTTCCCCTTTTTTTCCTCCCCCCTTTTTCTTTTTTCTCCTTTCCTTTTTTTTTTTTTTACTAGCGCGTGTAATAAACGTTGTTTCGAATATTGAATTCCCCCCCCCCGTTTACACCACGTTTCCTCAAAACACTGGGAGTAACCGAGTTGAAATATATTAAAAAATTCGGCCCGCTGAAATATTCATTACACGCGATTTCAATCATCCGTTCACCCCTCACCCTCCCTCGATTCGCTTGCGCATTTGCATTCGTATTTACCGTGAACCGTGAATGAAAATTACAGAAGCCTCGTCCAACCGAGCGAAACGGTTTAAAAAACGTCGATTACCGGGCTCGATGCGTGTATGTATAAGTATCGCGACGAATATCGCCGCGACCGGTCTGCGCTTTTTTTTTCTTCTTTCTTTCTTTTTTTTTTTTTTTAAAGCCTCGCTCGCAATTTTCAACTCGCGCTTTCAACACGCGTCGAGAGGAGACAACAAGTGCGTCTGGGAGCCTCGTTGGGTCGAATTAGAAAAGTTCTTCGCTTTAATCGCACCGCTTCCCCGTGATTATTTCAGATACGCGGGATGGAATCGTGATGGAATCTTCTGAGAGTTGTGCATTTTTTACGATTACGGAACGTTAAAATTATCACGATCACGGAAACATCATGGAAATGCGAACAGTTTTTTTTTTTTTTTTTACGAACAAATATTTCCGTAAAATTTATATAACTTTTATGTAGCTATTTATATGTAACTTTATATAATTGTAGGATGAAAAAATTGAGGAGGACTAATCATTTCAGGCGACTAATTTCAATAAGATTAAATATCTTGTTTCAGATTTTTTTTTTTCTTTTTCTCCTTTAAATTAGACGCGAAAATTCTAAATGGTACGCCATCTTCAAGTGATTTCAAGTGTTTCGAGGGAACGCAAACGATTGAGAAACGCTGTGTTATAAGTTTTGTAGAAGTTAGGCAAGAATTTGGATACATTATCTGTATTTCGTAAAAGTTACGAAATTTGAAGAGATTTCGGGAACAGAAACACTATGAAAATTGAAACGTGAACTGACAAGTTGTGACAATGCTCAAAAAATATTCGTTAATTTTACTGGATTGATATTTTACACCACTTTTTTATCTCATTCAATATACACGAACTATATATAGATAATTTTTCGAACATTTTGCAACAATCATTGACAGGTTCGATAAACGTCATTTCAAGTGATACTTTTTTATATCGAAAAAATTCATGAAAACGTGTAAAATGTTAAAATAAAAAAAAAAAAAGGAAAAAAGAAAATACGATTGGGATCAAATGGGGTGTATGAATATGTAGAGTATACGAAAAGCCAAGTGTCGTTCATCAAAATAACGCGATACGCGATAAAATATTGCTCTGATACTCGAATACCCTTAATGTCGATGTTATCCCAATGGATCCTCCAAGTGTCGGAATCCATGTCAAAATTTTCATGTCAAAATTTCGCTTTAGCGCATTATTTAATTAAATTCGAGGGATGCGTGTCGACAAACGTTAATGAACTCGATGTGAGGAACATATGGTTAACGCGTTGACAATTGTCAATTTCTTTCAGACTTTGTCTCTGAAATCCGTTAAAAAGTGGACGTCTTTGACGAATTGTAATTGAAAAATATTTCAATGAGATTCACATTGAGCGACCCGATATGAATTTCGTACACGTTCACTGAATTATTATTATGTTATTTTCCTGTTTTTTCGATCGAACGGTTCAACAATTCGTTCAAAAATCGTGGAATAATTAAAATATTATTACGTATTTTATATTTTGTATCGATTTCTCGATCTTTTCGTTTCGTTCGATTGTTTCACTTTAGAGTTCCATGAATATTTATATTATTTGTAACATAATTTTACATTTCTTGCAAGAGAAATTATTTTATTAATTTTTCTATTAATCGCGAGAGGATTAAACGACAGTGTATTAATAATTATCTGATTAACAGATAACTAAATCCTAATATTTTTTTTTATTTTCCTTCCAAAATGTTCATCTATCATCTTATTAAGCTATCATCATCAAACGTAACTAAACAGACTAAAACTTCAATATATCTTTATAAAAGTATCTACATGTTATACGAATGGATCCAGGAACGTTCACCAATTTTACATATTTCCAAACTTAACACCTTTACTTCCAATATTCCAATGAATGGTTCAAAACCATCCCCTACAGAATCTAACAGATGGCTCGCCAAATGGAAGAATCTTGTTCATCCCCGAATCATCCCTGTGCCTATATTCATTAATAACTTTCATCCCTTACTTACTATTCACCCTATATAATAAAACGAATACCCTAACAGAAGAAGAGCCAGGGGACCAAAGAAAAAATTTTACCATTTTTCCAGTTGTAACTATTAATTGAATTATTAATTAAACGTTATAGTACAGACGTGAATAGTAATTTTATTTAATTTTTTTTTTTTTGAGGAAAATTTTAATCTAACTTTTGATTAATTCTTCCACGCTCAATGCACAACAGTTATTCGTTAAATAATCAAATCGAATTTCTATAAATTCGATATATTTTTTGTAAAAATTAACAAAAGAAGTACGTTTTTTTTTATTATTACAATTGATAAAAAGAAATTATTTCGCTCCCTCTAAAAATATTTAATTTATTATATTTAATATTGAAAAAAAATTAAAAAGTCATACGAATAAACGAGCACGAAATGTATATTCTTATTAAATTAAATTAGTCGATTTGTAACAATTAAACGATCTCGAAATTGAAAATCTGAAGGAAAAACGCAATTCAATTTACAGAGCTGTTCGACTAGCCAGTCAGATGCGTAAACAGGAGGTGAAAATCCGTGAAAAAGTTTCAATTATCCCGGGCGAAGATTAAATTCCTGGCCGGGAATCAGAGATTAAAGCGTTAAGGAGAAACGGAAATTTACGTTCCTTGATGAATTTGTCCTTTAATTTTTCTTAACTGACTTTTATATATTTAACAGAAAGAAAGAAACGCGAAGCGTTGAAATAATGTGTCTCTCAAACATCAAGGAATTTCCTAATTTACTTGAAAATATAGAGAATTTTTTGTTACGTAATTTTTTTTTTCACATTTCTAATTAAAAAATTTTGCGCTGTGAAGAAATTGAAACTAATTCAACCAAAATTTGAAATAAAAGAACACACGAGAAAAAAGTAAATCTTGAAATTTTGCTTTAATTTTCTTTTCAAATATCCTTCTTTACTTACTGAAAAATTTTTTCTTTGATTTGAGAGATTTTATTATAACCTTTGAATTTGCAATTTAATAAATATAATACTTTGTGGAGTTGATAGAATTTGGCAGTAATATATTTCGTGATATTTGCAATTCATGAGTTGCATCAATTTTAAGTATTACTACTTGAATTAATAATTCTAGTCTCTTATTAGTTTAGAAGAACGATTCTTATCTGATTTTTAGCTTAACAAATTATATCGAAATGGAAAACTGTTCCAGCATTAAATTCTCTAATCATATCATAGAAATATTTTGTAAAAAGAAGAAAAAAAATAATTTTATAAAATTTCATATACTTGTATTACTCTCAGATATAAAGTATATGAATGAATAGAATATACAAATTTTTTTTATAAAAATTGTCATATTTTATCACAAAATTTAATGATAACTTTCCTTTAACGAAAATATAAAACATTGTTCTATTCCTTAAAATCGGATTTCGATCTAAGTAGTACAAACCTATTAAATTTCATCCAGAGATATAATCCAAGAAACTGGACCAAGTCCAAAAGTCAAAAGATATATCTAATATCGAGTGGAGCGAACGCGAAAAAGGCGGAAAGGTAGAATGTTCTCTCACCTGTCCCGAACAAAGAGAAGAGCAGCAGTAGTGCGAGCCGCATTTTCGTCGGACACTTTCCCTCGCACCTGGAACACGAATCGTTCGCGATCGAAGTGGCACTCGAGCCACTCGCTCGCCTCGAGTGCTTCATCGTTCGCTCGACATCTGAGAAATGTCTCTCCGGCGTAGACCGATCGTCCCTCGTGGAAATCGCTCACTCTCCGTGTAATTTGCACCCTTGCGACTGTTAATCCAAAGAATTGGGGAGACACCTGGATAGCCTCGATCGAGGACGTTTCTTTAACTCAACTTGGCGAGTTTCCACCTTGGTAGATTACGGTTCGTTCCTTTTATTTCCCCGCCTACTGGTTTTCGTGGTTAGAGAAATACGAAAGAATTTTGTCCGGGATTCCTCGACCAATTCCTCCGTGCGGTTGAAAACGTTCGATGGGCGGGGACCGCCGAGATCGTTTGGATCAAGGTGACGAAATGCCGGAGATCGTTTCCTTTCCCGAACGAAATCTTTCTTTCGTTCTTTATTCCGGATAGTTTGATTTTAGTCCAAAGAACGAGGAATAAGATATTCGAAATTTTCTCGATGATGAAGTTTTGCGGAACATTAAATCGAATGATTCTTTCATTAAACAGTTGGGAAAGTAGATCCGAGATTGATATTTTATTCATATATCGTTCCGATCTCGTACGAACTTTTCGATCATCTTATTACATCTTTACGCGATGGAATTTATTAATCTTCTTAAAATTTTAAAAAATTGGACAATAGTTCTTTTCCAATATCATCTCTTGAATCACAGTATAAGAGATTAATATTTTCAATTCAACGAAGGAAGATATACTTAAAACTTTTATCACCTCATAACGTCACAATTTTCGAAAAATAAAGAAAACAGGTTGTCTATTAAAAACTAAAATATCTTTAAATTTTATTATTTCGATTATAACACACAAATAATCTTGATCAAAACGAAACTCATGAAAATCATCGAATCACGAATATTCTTCTCAACCGAATGCACTCGTGGATCACTCGACAGAAGCTAGATAAAAAAAAAAAAAGCTTGTTATATTTAAGTGACCCACATCCTTTTTCTTATCTTCTCTCGATGGAAATTGCCAATTTTCTCTGCACTTTCGGCCCGCGGAGCCCGTTTCTCCAGTATCGTGTTCTTACGAGAAGCTTTCGAGGCGTCTCCCCGGTCTCATTAACCTGCCCTTTCATCCGGATACTAGTCGCTCGTCCGATGGCGAGTTTAATCAGCAAATTCGTTGAACCAGTAAGCCGTCCGCATTTGTCTCTTTGGCTTACGACTAATTAGTATCCAGATTAATTATCCACAGTGGTAGTATCTTTCCTCAAAGACACGTAGCATCAATGCAATCCTATCGCATCTTCGTGCACCTTGTTTGCTTTTCTAAAATAGTAATTAGAGGTTAAGATATCTGAATGGGAGGATAGGTGAATCAGCGATATTTTATAATATCCGTATACATTGGTACACTACGTACATGCGATACACTGTATTACATGTTATTTTCTTGAACCTTCTGTTGCACTACTTGACGATATTATAAGCACAAACTTCCAATAACATTCAGAAAATCTTCGGAACGCATTCGAACGCGACACAGTCACGTGCCACTTAGCCCGCACACCACGTGACACTGTCTACGAAGTTAATTGTCGCTGCTGCCCCCTTTCTCCAAATCTCGATCGATATTATCGATCGACATCACTGTATCGCACTATCCCCTTACTTCACTATGCACACATCCAATCACTTTTGATCCGTAAACCAGTGTAATTATCCTATTCCTCGATGACCAAATCGATATCCCTCAATCACCACGTAATTACACACGACAAATTAACGCTCCAACTGCTATCGAACTGGTAATAAACAGAGAGAGAGAGAAAGAGAGACACACTCGTCACTGAAGAATCATTATCCAATGTGTACACAAAGGGAAATGAAGCGTGAAAAACAAGGTACGAATAATCTCGTGTCACATTGTTAACGCGAAAATGATTTCACCGCGGAACGATCACAATGTCAATCGTGCGCATCGCGATACGCGTTGACAGGCCACCGGTGGTGGTGTATCTTTTCCGTACGAGAGTTCGTAGTTGACAGAAAGCCTTGGCGGGAGCTGCACGACGAATAAGGTGCCACTCCCACCCGCGCATGCTCCTCCACTCCGAGCCTCGTGCCCTCTACGTCGCGCTTATATTTTCACTAGGCCTCTCTCTCTCTCCGCTCCTTACCTCGCCCTTCGCTCGACCCATTCTCGTATACGCGTCTCACTTCTCGTTCCTTGTCGGCCGCACGTTTCTTGTTTTGCTTAAACGCGTTTTCTTTCCGTTTTCAACCCTCTCTCTCGCTCTTGTTCATTGCCTTCGTCGATCACGGGCTCTCCCCACTACTGTTTCGGTTCGAAGGCACGTGCTTCGCCGCGCCCGGCTATTCCATAAACCAATTAACGCGAGAAATAAGTTAGAGATCGGATCCGTATTGCGTTGGAACGTCAATGCTCGAGAGGATGATCGCGTGATACCCTGGGGATGTCGATTGGATGGAAGATTTTTTTGGTGAGTAGTTTGTTTGATATTAATTGAATTTTCTATGTAATATTAATGTTTAAATGTTTTGAGATTTTTTTGAGAAGTTGTAAATATTTCAAACATTATTTTTGATTAAAATCTTAAGTGTCGTATCAAATTTAAACTCTTTTTCTATGATTCTGTAATCATAGAACGCGTGGAATAGACTATTTTTATTCGAAATTGAACGCAATCTAAGGAATTTTTGAAATCAAATCCAAATCTAATCCTAGTAAAAGTTGAAGAATTCGAACATAAGCGTTCCGGAAGCTCGTTTTCAATTTCAAGCTCACGAAGCTCATTTGGGCTCTCTCACGTTTCGCTGGAACTCCGATAACAACGATCTCCTTGGGACAGATCGAACTATTCTATTCAAATCGGCCGTCAACTCGGCAATTCATAGCACGTACGCTCGAGTATTGCTTCACGGATAATTGTTCCGGTCCTGACTACGCGAATCACTATCGATTGCGCTCCAAGGAATTAAATATACAGGCTGGACGATTAATCAAGTCACGTAGGGGGTACGAAGTCGATAATCTGTAATAGAATGTGTATCAGATACCCGTGTAACAGCGCCCTCTATTCCAATAGCCAACATAGTCGAATCGTCGATTATTCATATATTCACTGGCATCGGAAAACTGCCATTATGTAAATTAAATTTTTAATGGTGTCACGATTATTCGTTTCACGACAAATTCCTTTTAATTTATCTTTTCCTTCTGTCGTGTGCACTTTGCAGTCTTTTAATCGAAATTGTTCCAAACTCCAATTATTCCAAGACTCTGTTTTCACTCCAAACTATGTACGTACTATTTATATCGTATATCATCGAGAAGCAATGGACGTTTTAAATTTTTTTTTCACGACCATTTGAAAATAGTCGCACGATTGTGACAACAATTTCATAATTTTATTAATTTTTTTTTTGTTTTATATTTTATTTTATCATTGCAAGATCGTGGCGACATCGTATGTTATCGAGATTCTTATTATCATGAAGACAGTACAATATTTTTTTATTAATTTTAAATCTGTATCAAAATAATATCTATATCTTCTTCACTTTCATCTTCAACACATGGATAGTACAGTAAACTAGTATTACATAACATTGATCAACATTGTGGAAATACCTGTTTCCAATTATGTATGTTCACATTTGGATTGAAGGAAATAGAATTGACAAATAATATTTAGACGAGCAAATAAATGGATGAACAATCTCAAACTCGATAAGATTCGATAATTTAAATCGCACAGGCTAGATAAAAGTCCTTTACTCACACTTTGATGACATGTACTATCCTGCACCACTTTGTCCAGTTATCCAACGGCCACTGTATAAAGCTAATTGAAAAAAATTCGCTCACGCTGCAGTCTTTTGAAGGAAACAGCATTAACCAACCTTTTCCCTGGCAAAATTTTAAATAATAAAAAAAGACGAGAGAGAAAGAACCAGAGATAAAAGATGAGATGGAACAAGAAGGATAAATCTTGGTCAGTTTTGAATAAGTAGGTTCAAATCGAGGTGTGCGTAAGCTATTCGTGGATCTGCGCGATGATTAGACTCGTTTTCAGGATTTTTAAGGATTTTCAATATTTTTGAAACGTTCCAAGTATAAAATTGTTGCAAATTGCGAAGAATATTGAAAAGATTAAAACGAAAGTTTGGTTATTGGATGAGAGATTTTACCTGAGGTAAATTTTAAGAAGATTTACTTGTAGATCTTTACTTGTAGTAAGAGCGTTTTCATTCTTGTAATAAAATTCTGAAAATTTCGTACAAATATTACAAATTTTAAATTCCATTCAATTTGTTATCTATGATATATAAAAAATTTTTGAAAATGAAATTTTCATTTCGTAAAATATATTTGGTATTTTTTCAGTCAAACGAAAAAATATTTTTTCACTTTTGAAACGAACAGAAAAATCATGATAAATTGTTATGTATATTAAAATATTTATTATCCATTTCATATTCATATCGTAGAAATTATTTCTTTAATTTTGAGATTAAATATGTATTTTTTCATTTTAAAATATTTCAGGAATATTAATTTCCTTGTGTGGTGTCTCATTTCATAATACTTTGTGAATTTGTATTTCAAAAAAATTTTATCTTTTATCCTGAATAATTATTCATTCACGTCAAAGTGCTTCCGTTTGAATCAGTAGGAAATCAATAGGAATAGGTATTTATTTTTGTCAGGATACGTGGATATCGCATTAATTCTAATTGGATTAAATAATTTAGATTAATTAAATTGCATACTGATATGTAATTTTTTGCTCAGAAAATTTAAATAACGTGTTATTGTCATGCAAACAATCGCAAAAAAAAATATAGCTCTAGCAAAAAGATTTGCATTGATAATCATCCTTTTTTCAAGAGAATACATTTTCACGATAAAATGAACGTGATAAAGATGCATGGATGACAATATAATATCATATTAACCGTATGCATCATTTTTCAACTAGGACGCTTGTACAATGTAAAGACACAAATTGCTCTTCAAAATACATGTATATAATTAATACTTATAAAGTCCGGAAAAAAAACAACGACATAACAATATGGCAATAAAATTGCTTTTAACAATCATATTACAATTAACAAAATATTTATTTGTTTTTCGACAATCGAATAATACTTTATTTACAATATTATATTATGAGAATATTATCATCATATCATCCCTTCCCAAATTAAACAACAATTTTATACAAATAGCTTCGTTCACGATTCAATTAACATTTATTTAATTCATTTCGATTATAAATAAAATTCCTTTCCTTTCTTCATCTAAAAAAAAAAAAAAAAGAGTAACTCTTTCGAACGTATGCTGTCAAACGAAAAGAGAGGAGAAAGAGAGAAAGAAAAAAAACTAAAATATTAAAAAAGAAAAAGGGATAAAAGAAAGAAGAACAAACCACGCAAAACTCGACAGAAAACGAGTGGTGAAGCACTCTTGAACGTACTCCGAGAAGAACCGACCACAGTATCCAACTTTTATTCGCTTCCTATTTCGCCACCCTCCTTTATTCATTATCCACACGCAAAACGGCTGAACCAAGGTGCGAAACGTGTAAAATAGAAAAACAATATTCCACGGGTGAGAGAGAAGGCGAATAGAATAAGCTGGCTCTACGAAAGCAGCCAACCTTCCCTTGGAATATCGATTAAACGTCGATTAATATTCATCAGCGTGGCGAATTGCGCGTGGTGGCGGTGGTGGGGAGGGAGACGAGGGAGGGGTTTGGGCCCGCGTTGAATTTAAAATCAACGATTATAAATTAAGTCGTTCTCCCTGTGCGAAGACTCTTGTAGGGCAATGCCTCGCGCATTTCACCATCGATTCGGGTATCTGGTGTATCGTGTCGTATCGCTCTGGGGAGGGGAAGAGGGGAGAAAAAAGAGAGAGAAAGAAGAAAAAACAACAAATCGATACGATTCCGGCCGTGGAAAGCCTTTTATTTGAAGGCGTATCGGTATCGCGCGCAAACGAAATACAGGAAATTTAATAAAATCGAGTCGAGCAAATAGAACTTATTGCTGGAATTCGATTTCACGGTTTTAATTTTTCTTTTTCTTTTTTTTTTTTTTTTTTGGTTAAGAGGAGGAGAGATCGATCTGTGGATCTCGTCGATGTTGATTTTACTCCTGGTGTTTGAAATATGAGCTGTTCACGTGGCAAATTAATGGTAATATTCCAAGTTTATTTCGAATGCAATTATGATGTATTTAAATTAGTCACGGAGGGTTGGAATGTAATCTTCGGTCGGGAATTATTCCCAGCATCACGTTTTTGCAATTATGGGTGGTATGATATAAAAAAGTAAATGTATTAAAAAATACCGAGAAAAATGTAAAATACCGGGGGAAAAATATAGAGAAACCGTGAATAAAATCATGCAGTTACTGCCAGATGCTTCCGGCAGCCAAACTGTAATTTTATTATAGCGTTGAGATGATAAAGTTGTTCTGGGGGAAAAAAAGGATATTATATATGATACGTACGTGGATTTTAATTATACATTCGATGGTAATGAATTTTTATAGGAATTTTGTTTGGGTATAATTTGAACTGTAATTTTATACTAGAATGTTAAGAGAGATTTATTACACCTTTCTTCTAAAAATGATTTTCTTCAAAAAAAAAAAAATATATACATTTTACAATATAGTAAAAATATTCTTACGATTTTTGAATAAGAAATATATCTTTATTATTACAAATAGAAAATGTTCAAAAGATCGATTCTTTTTTTCTTCTTATATCATTAAAGAGGGAATAATATTTTTCGTAAAATTTCAATTTGTATTTGTATTGAAATCTGTTTAACAAAATAATGAGTATATATGTATTTGAAGGCTCTAAACGTTTCTAACAGAAATTCACACCTCGTTCATCGTACGCTCTAATTATAATTGAATACAAAATCACAGCACTTCTATATCTCGACTGTGGTATGTCTCATTTAGTATTTATGGTCTCAATTCCGTTGCCTAAGAGTCTCGTCAAATATCAACATGTACGAACCGAAAACTTCCTTGGACGCACCTGTGGAAAGGACCATTAATTATTTCGCATAATTAAGCTTCTAGCGTACAGCAGTTTCTCTGAATGTCAACAGACAACCCGAAAGCGCTTCAAACGATATTACATTAAAAATCGCTACCATAATTATCACGAACGCGATTCTTGAGGTTTACCACGCGCTATCGTTATTCGATATTTTTAACAAAGATAATTAAAAGGGATAAATTAAATACGGAGATTAAATCTCGCTAATATTTATAATTAAATAGTGTTAATATTTGGGTAAACTTTTATTTAAGCATAAAATTAAAATTTTCGAATCGATCTGATTGTTCAATATATTTTCCATCAATTTCTTCAAGTTCTTCGAAACTTTATCACTTGAGAAAATTATTGAAATCATAAATTGAATAATTTCTATCTGATTTGTGTAAGAACTCTATTTTTCACATACCATCAACCTTTTTATGAATTTCATAGTTCGTGAAAACCATTGAAACCATCTTAATCGTCCATCATCCTAAAGGACAAAATAGCGATTGACCTTTCCACTCGTTCAAAGGTTAACGCGAACATAGCAAGTCCAATAAACATCGTTCTTGATCATCGATCCCAAACCTTGCGAAATCTTCTTACACCATTTGCATAACAATTCACGTTTTAATAATTATTGAAACAACCATCTTTTATCAATACGAAGCAGAATTAAGGTCGAAAATATTTCACGCTTATCGAATTTGCACAATAAGCAAAGTTATCGCGTTGAAAACGTTATAGAATATGAGCCTTCTGAGGGAAGGAACAATGAACGCGGGCAAACACAACGAACGAATATTTAAATACGAACGTTTTACGAGCTCGTGCTGGTATCGAGCAACGGTCGCTCATTTATTATCATATTGTTCTTTGAATTACCACGATGGCTTACATGGGAAAGGGAGTTAATAAACTATATATTCGTAATGTTGCATTATAACGGAACGAGACTCGAAAGTAAATTACGTCCCCTTTCGAGGGACAATATCGGTTGAAATTAATAATTAATTAATATGATGACGATGATAATTAGAGTAATAAAATTGTTCCCGTCCGTTCGCGGGATTAGATCGGTTCGAATCGTGAAACCGGAATGATTGATCAAATGCGATTTAATTTTTTATTGGTTCGAATCTGTGATATTTTTGGAAAAGCAATTTTACCGCGAATAATATGGGACAATTTATGAGAATTGTGTGATTTATTTACAGGGGAAAAATTTGGCTAGATGAAAATTCAGAGTAATGTACAATTTTACAGAAATATAGTTTCTTGTATCGAAATATTATTTATAAAAGCGTGAATATCTTTGAAGGAAACTGTCCTCGAAGAAAAAAATACTCGTTATTCGAAGACATATTAAAAAGAAAAAGATTATAAATTAGCATTTTGTATTTCAATAAATATATTGTTCTATATAATTAATTTATTTTTACTAAATTATTATGCGACGTTAATTTATTTTCATTTTATTCATTTACACACATTTAATTTATAATATTATCATAATTTATTAATTGATTGTAATTTATAGTTACAAAGTTTATTTTACGTATAAACATTTTTGTGAATAGCAAATATGTATAAAAGGAAATCAATTTGAGCGTAAGTAGTATAGCCGCTCTTTGATCAGACATTAGTAGGATTGAATTTTTTTAAAAAAAAAAAAAAGGATTGAAAGAAAAAAACTTTTGGAACTAAAGGGTTGTTTTTAATATTTTATAAATATAATTATATTTATGTAATTATATTGTATTAATTAATGGATAAATTTTATTTTTTTATTTAAGCTATCTTGTAAATTACTTTGTACCGTTGCCATTTAAGTTGTCTGTTGATCGCTCATTGCGAAAGTTCAGAGTTCAAATTTGCAATTCAGTAAATGAGGCGAAAGAAATACTTACAAATGCAAATAGAACTGCAGCAGACGTTGAACGAGTTTTCCCAATGTTTCGCATGCATAAAGTGGAACGATTAATTCTATACCCCTTATCAAATCGAAACTATGCTATCTGGGGTAACAATTTCGCAAACTTTTCCAAACTTGCCTTAAAATTTTATCTTTCTATTTTTATAATTAATACTAATTACATTGCTTTACAATTATTTTCGTAAATCAAAAAATCAACTTATTACTTTTAATTTCAAACGCTTCGAAGTTTAAATGAAATGATATTCAGTCAAAATATCGAATTTTAAAAAATTCGATCGTAAAAAAAAAAAATCTGAAATACGTATATATTTCCAAATTTTGAATATTGATCTTGAAAAATTTATAAAATTAGGATCGATTTAAGAGGCATTTGGCGAGAAAAATTTAATTATATATAATTAATAAGAATTTTAATATAATTTTAAATATATAGATTTTTTACAATCTAATCTTGTAAAGTTTCTGTCATAAATTAACTTCATCTTCTAAAAAAAAAGAAACATCTCAATATACTTTATCATGACCTCTTCCTATCGTCATAACTTTCACGAATCATTTCCGTAAAACGTAATCCCTCTCTCCATCGTGCAAGAACAGAAACGTTTCTTCTATCGAAAACGATTTCTCTTCGAACGAGCAGTTTTTCACCGTCAGTCAATAGTTATCGCGATGAGAAAATGCGACTACGTTCGAGATAGTGATACGAAGTTGCTATCATTTTACAGATGGAATCGTCTTCGAGCACGAATCACCTATTCTCCTATTTCCAAGATGATCCTTGTGACCCACAGTTGTCCAATAAAAGCTCATTCCACGCAAGAGGAGCACAACGACCTTGTCTAATCCCGAGTAGCGTCGTAGTCGCGGTTAATGGACCACGCGGGACAGATCAATCTGTGTTATCCCACTGCGAATTATTTTTCCCGCCATTTCTCTGCGAGCTATTTCGTTGTTTCGAGGGGAAAAGAATGAAGTTGAGCTTGTTCGGTGGCCATTAAAAGGGAAGAATTAGACGAGGAAAAAGTTGGATGATGATTAATTAAGAAAGTATTTATATACGATTTTCCTTTTTGTTAGACGAGGTGGTTGAATCGAGTTTGACCAAGGATTTGAGGAGTTAACGAAGATTGGTAGGATTGATAAAATACTTATAGGAAAATTATCAAAGTCGAGATTTAATAAAATATGAAACAGGTTTGGGAAAGATTGGGAAATTAAAATTCGGAAAAAATTGAATTAAATTTCAGACGAGAAGTTAAAGAAATTAAAGTGAATTTGAAGGGAAATGTGATAAAGTTGGATAAGAGATATATTACGTATTTAATTACGTGTTATTGCAGTAAAAATTTTTATCGTGTCAAAAAATGGAGGGAAATGAAACGTTTAAAAGAATTGTACTGAGAAAATTGCTTCGAATTGAACTCGTGATATATAGTAACCTTGCTGATGATGAGTCTTTGTTAAAATATTAAAAACATAATATTGATAAGAAAGGACCATAAGAAAGGACTACTTGAATTATCGAAGATGAAAGACGATTGATGAAATGTAAAATTGGATTAATTTAAATTAAGTTAAATCGAGGAATATAAATTAAACGTGTTCTTTGTGTTCAATATTTTCATATTCATTTCAGCAATTCTTGACGTCGATGCTTTGAGAGATATGTACGTATGATTTATTCGTATACGTTGTAGAGAATGAAATTTTGCGAAATATAGGACACGAATGTTTTGAAAAGAGCATCATTGTATAAAAGTTAATAAAGTTTCGTTTGTTTGGTATAATATACGTGCAGGATTCTTTTCAGAGGGAAACATTCATTGTGTCTTTTGCAAATATCAATGAAATCATACCATATTTCCCTTTTGCTGTTATTTCATAATCCCCTCACAATCTAGTTTAAATTTATATGTTTTTCCAATTGATACGAGTTTATTATTCATATATTATTGTCATAAAAACGATATTTTATAATTTATTTTAATATACATATATAT